TCTGTAATACTCTTGGGACTCGGGCAGACATGGCTGTAGCGGCATGCTTGTCCGTTTTCCCATTCTTGCCTATTCTGTAATATTCTTTGGACTCAGGCAGACATGGCTCTAGCAACATGCTTGTCCGTTTTCCTACTTTTGTCTGTTCTATTTCCTTGGACTCAGGCAGACATGGCTGTGGCAGCATGCTTGTCTGCTTCCCACTTTTGTCCTTTTGAATATATGCCAAATAAAGCTTTCTTTTTACTTTATTGAACTTTGTGATGTTTTTCCCCAACAACACCATTTAACAATTTTTATACAACTTGTTCCATGACTTTGATTACATTTTCCACAATTTGTCAACATCCTCATTATTATCGTTTTTTTTTTTTATTGTTGTTGTTGTTCTATTTCCATTAATCTAGCTTCCCTGCCTCTCCTTAGCTTCTCATCTTTGTAAATGTTGACCATTTGGTTTCATATGGTTTATTACGTAAGGGAGCACAGTATTCATGGGTGATAGTGTTTATTTTATAAGCCAATCTCTTATTCTGATGAAAAGTGACCACCGGAAGTGGCTTCAGTTCCAAGTTCAAAGGGTATCTTAGGGCAACGGTCTTCGGGGTTCCTCTAGTCTCTACTGTTCCAACTTAAGTCTGGCCTTTTTAAGGAATTTGAGTTATGTTCTACATTTTTCTCCCATTCTAACTGGGACCTTCTACTGTGTCCCTTGTCAGAACAGTTGATAGTGGTAGCTGGGCACCATCTAGTTCTTCTGGGCCCAGGCTAGAAGAGGTTACAGTTAGTCCTGTAGACTAATTTTTTCCTTGGGTCTTTGGTTTCCTTCACTCTCCTTTGCTCCAGATGGGAAGAGACCCATAGTTGTATCTCAGATGGCCGCTCGCAAGCTTTTAAGACTCCAGATGCTACTCACCAACCTAGGATGTAGAACATTATCTTTATGAGCTATGTTATGCCAACTGACCTAGATGTCCCCAGAGACTACAGTTCTGACCCTTCAAACCCGGTAACTCAGTCCCACAAGGTGTTTTGATATGTCTAGAAGTTTCCTTGACTGTGCCCCGTGTGCTCTATTATGTGTATGTAGCGCACATAAACATGTATATACATATACCTGCAGATATACCTGTACATGCATGCTCATACACTCACATCTGTGTACCTATACCCATATATACATATACGTCTACCTATGTAACCACAAATATATTTTATTGGCTGTTACTATTGTTGTCTTAAGGATTTCATTTTATTTGGATCCACAATCAACAACCATGGAAGCAGCAGTCAAGAAATCAAGCAATGTACTGCATTGGGCAAATCTGCTGCAAAAGACCTCTTTAGAGTGTTAAAAAGCTAAGATGTCACTTTGAGTACGAAGGTGCGCCTGACCCAAGCCATGGTATTCTCAATTGCCTCATATGCATGTGAAAGCTGGACAATCAATAAGGAAGACCGAAGAATTGATGCCTTTGAATTATGTGTTGGTTAAGAATATTGAATATACCATGGACTGCCAGAATGACAAACAAATCTGTCTTGGAAGCAGTATGGCCAGAATGCTCCTTAGAAGCAAGAATGGCAAGACTTCATCTCACATACTTTGGACACATTATTAGGAGGGACCAGTCCCTAGAGAAGGACATCATGCTTGGTAAAGCAGAGGGTCAGTGAAAAAGAGGAAGACCCTCAATGAGATAGATTGACACAGTGGCTGCAACAATGGGCTCAAACATAGCAACAATCGTGAGGATGGCACAGGACTGGGTAGTGTTTCATTCTATTGTACATAGGGTTGCTATGAGT